TGAACCAAGTGATTTAAAATTGCCTGATTTTAAATATCTTACTTATAATCTTACTAATATTATAAATGCAAATGTTTAGATGGATGGATGGATATTTGTTTAAAGGTATCTCCAGAACGGCTGCATGGACTTCACTAAAACTTGGCATGGATGTAGAATGTTGCCTGGAAGAATACATAGCCTACAAATTAAGTTTTTTTTATGTTCTGTGCGGACAGAGTCTCGGGTGACTGCTAGTTACTCTATACAGTACAGAGAACAGTAAAACTAGCATAACATATCACATAAAATGATAAATCACACAGTGATTAAAAGCATAGATCTTGTTTAAATGTTGTAAAACTTGTAAACCGTAGACAAAACAATGCTGTAAAGTAAAGAAACTTTATTACAATTGAATTAAATATGGCTGGTCCCTTAAATGTTGTTCAAACTTGTATTTGGTGGTATACTTTTTACATTTATTGCCTAATTCATGTTTCAGATTGTTCAAGAAAGTGAGGAAAGACTCTCAGAGGAAGATGTCCATGCCATTATAGATTTGGTCAATGAAATCTTTCCGACTCCAGCGACTTGATGCTGTTTACTTACAAAATACATTGTTACATGATTTACAATAAAATGAAGTAAGCCCGCATTTGATTTTTTTACTTTGAATCATATTCCATTGTAGGTTAGTTCCCAATTTTCTCATTTTATATGAAATGCATAAGTTTTTTTCATAATTTTCATCATTATTCATAACATCTCTAGTGTTAAAAAAACAATTAAGGATATTGCTATTTAAATTAATTCAGGATTGATTTAAAATAGATTTTAATTTTTAAAAGCTTAAAGGATTCTGAACTGTTGCAAATAGATTTAATTGTTTCTTTGTTGTATAAATTCACACAGTTCAAGGACGAGTTTAAATGATTGTAGGATAGTGACAAAACCTGTTTTATAGTTACGCAAGTTTACAACATGATTGGGTTATCTTTTTTAGATTTGTCAGTGGGTTTGTGTGGCAATGAGTTGAATGTTATATAACCATGTTTGTTGAATTAATTCATTGGTGTTTGTAACATTTTATTATATCTGTCATCTTATTTGAAGGCCACAGATGTTATGTAATTTGTGGAAAATAACTAAAAGTGGTTATTAGCGCATTTTTTTTGGTAGTAGTAACTTAATTATTTTGATTAAAATTAAAAATGATATTTATATTTACATCTATGTGTTGTGTACAAGTTCTGTTATATTGTTGTTGTTCGTGATCTTTCTGACCTCGGTAAAATGTCATGCAGACAATTACAGGAATACAAAGACCATTTGGTCTTCACTTTGCAATGCAAATGTATGTTTGAATTAATATCCCTTTATAAACTTTTGGTATTTTATAATGAACAACTCAAACACAATGAACGAAAGATATTTTTGAAATAACCTCACTGGGGTAGGTGTTAATTACAACTTTGTTCTGGGTATCTCCGAAAAGACTGGACTGATTTTGACGGAAAGGTAGCTGATGCATGCGGATAAAGTTAGCTAGTATCTTTTGAAAAGAAATAACTTATTTTCCTTTTTTATTTAACGTTTCAGGTTTGGTGCCACAAACACTAAAGAAAGAAATTGAAGACCTAAAGAAAGCAAAGAAATGACGAAAGGTGTGTAGAATATCATTAAAATGGTTTTCATTGCCCCTACAAAAATATATTGGTACTTACTTGTTGCCTGCCATATCGTCTGAGTGGAATTTAAAAAAAAATCTAGTTAAGATGGTGTAGCTTTGTGACGGTGAAAGAATTTTTCAAATCGGTTCAATAGTTTTGAAGCTTATTCAATACAAGCAAATAATCAAATTATAATATCAGTATTGGTAACAACCGTTATCCTTGAAAATGACTGAGATGTTTTGTCCTAATGTTTGACATTATATGTTACAGTATCCCAGTTGCCTCGGCTGATCCTGTACAAAGCGGATGCCAGCCCTCCCTCCTGCGCTGTCAGGATGCTGGGTCATATCCTCTCCATAGACTTCCACTACAGAGAACCCAAACTGTTGCAGCTTGAACACAAAACACCGGAATTTAAAAAGGTATTAATGAAACATTAACTACCGGTGTTTTTAAGCTTACTTAAGCTAAGGAACTTGTAGAATCTTTAGTAACCTTTTAACTACTGAAACTGTTAATGTGAACTTTAAAATTTAAAATTTTACAATGCATCTTAACAAAATTAAAACATGTTATCTTAAAAGACTGATTACTTTTCCATTTAGAACCTTTTTTTCATTTAAAGGATATATAAAATTTATATTCCTGATTAATCAAAATCTTTATTATCTCCATATTCTCTTTATTTCTTATTTTAATACTTATTTCGTGTTCTTTCATTAGATAAATCCAATGGGGACAATACCAGTGCTGCAAGATGGTGATTTCATAGTTTCTGAGAGGTAAGTTTTACAAAATTTAATACTGGTGACATAAAAAATCCATTTTGAGGATTTTTTATAGATTAATCATCACCACTACCATTATCATCACAAAAAATCATCACCATCATCTTCAACCCTCTTTCCACTAATAAAATACCTAAGTCTGATGATATCTGCATTACATTTCCCAGCCACGCAATAATGCAGTACTTGACAGTTGCATACGGCGGCGAGCGCGGCGCGCAGCTCTACCCGCGCGCATTGCTCCATCAGTGCATGTACTTTGATGCAGCCATCATGTTCAACACTCTCAAGTCTATTGCTGTCAGTTCAACAAATATTTTAACGAAATCTTTTATATTTGCTGTCGAAAGGTTAAAATCATGGGTAAAAGTGACTATGGCTGCCAAAAGGTTAACATATAAATGCAAAATTTAACATTTCTTACATGCAGTTTTTTTTACTTTGTTTTTTTTTAACTTTTTTTTTTGTTAATTTCTAGCTGCCAACATTACTGCACGGTATGAAAGGTACGATAGAGAAACATTTGCAGAGTATTGAAGAATGTTATAGTGTGACTGAAGCGTACCTCCGCCGTGCATACATGATCGCTGACCACCTCACATTGGCAGACCTCTCCCTCAGCACAACAGTTGCCGCCTCACACATTATACATGAACTGGACTCTAACAGGTAATAGTCTTTTCAAATATCCTGATGGCTCAAGGCCATTGGTGCACTGCCTTCTCCCCGCATCCCTAAATCCCCTACATACTTAAATATGTGTTCTGAGCAGCGAAGTTAAGAGCCATCAACCTATATGAAAAACATTTAAACACACTGTGTCTTACGTAGGAAGGAAAATGTCCCCTTTTCTGTACATCGTCTCCTCTGTCCATTTAAGGCACGCATCTGCAACCTTTTAACTTATTGAAAACTAGTGAACGCAGTAATTTTGATATTTTAAAGATATGGCCGACTGTTTGTAACATTCTATTAAAAAAACTTATTAAGTATTAAATCTTATTTCCACTTAATTAGGTAGCAAGACAGACATATCTATTGTATACTGTCTTTACCTATATTAAATAACTTATTTTTTTTTGTTTCAGATTTCCTCGTACTGCTGACTGGCTAAGCAGAATGAAACAAGAAGATTTCTACAGACAAATAACTGAACCAGGAATGGCTTTACTAAAGAAGTTGTTATATAAGAGATGGGAAAAAAATACACATTAAATGTTATCTATCATATGGTTTTTGTAAATAAATCGTAGTCAAATGACGAATTTAATTTAGCTTAATATGATTGCATGGGGAAGACTGCTAAAGGTTGTGTACTTTTTATAATAAAATGTTATAAATAAGTAAAACCTCTTTTATTTTCTTGTACCCCCTTAATATACTTTTAAGGCGAAGGCCACGTATATATTTAACCTGGGGAGACTTTTTATACGAAAAACTAGAGGCTTTGAAAATCAGTATACAGTTCGCGGAACAATTCCAAGTCCATTATTTTTAAATTTGAACTTTGAAACATACTATAGACAGTAAAATATTTTTATTTAAGTTTTGAATATTATATAGAATTGACTTTTCTTACATCTGAAAAAATACTAATAATAGTACCAGTGCTATCTATTGGTATATTTTGTCTACATTTTACGACACATGAAACATAAATATTTTTTCATTATCTGTTACTAGATGGCGTTACTTGTTGGCTTTTTGAACAAGTTAAGCATGTTTGAACGTGAGAAAAATAATTTGTAGTTTTCATTGCAACTATTTACATATATAACTCAAGTGATACTAAGTTAACAGATCACATTCATTTGACTAAATTAAATAGCATAAAAAAACTAAGGTTTCAAAAAGATATTCAAATAAACATTCACTAGTAATTTACGCCATCTATTCCAAAAATTGTGAAAAACCGCTGGTATGACAAACAGTGTTGCCATTCAACTTTCGAACTTAGCGCTACAGAGAAGCAACATGCCCGATTGAGATTTTGAATTGTATCGGCTGGCGCGAGTGCGCTGCAAGCTCGAGTGGCAGAAACGTGTACGGCGAAGTGCGGTCGACTCGTCGATGCGCAGCTGTCCAATCGCGCTTGTCAATTTTTAGTTTTTTTCGAATCGCGTGTGTAAATAAACAACTTATTACTTTTCATTGCAAATAATGATGAAGTGATACAAATGTTTGTTTAAAACGTGTTTATTTGCAGTGGAGCTGAAGCCTTCGAAACCGTAACCGCTTCTCGCAATGACAACGGAGAGCACTCAGTTACCTTTAGAAAAACCGAAGGCATTTAAAATGTTTTTTATTGCCTAATTGATGCCTCAGTTTCGTATATAAGTGTTTTTGTAATAAGTAAGGACTACTGTGGTTTATATTGTGACATTAGTAAGGTTTTCGGTTCGACACGATAAGTCGTCTACACGTTTAAAAATGAGTGTTTTAAGTGGTTTAAGTAAGTCTGACTTCAAGACGGCAAGTGATGGACTGTTGGAGCTGTCCGAGGAGCGGCTCCGAAGCATCATGCGCACGGAGCCCATCACAGATGTGTACCACGTCGAGCAGACGCCGTTCGCAAGGTCAGCCACTTTGCCTTAACTCTACTTTACTCGTTATTTTCAAAAGTAGCACGTTCAACTTTCATAAGTTAACAGATAACGTTCGTTCTGGATAATTACGCTTTACAATTACTTTGTAACAATAATTGAAATACATATTTAGCAATAGTTTGTAATAAAATTTAAAAATTTAGTTTTAAAATCATGGCCAATGTTAATAATTTACAAACACATTCAGTATTATAGTAGTAAGCAGTTTGTGTCATAGATATGGAGAACATAGTGTACACAGCTGATAGTAAGTACACAGGACAGGATTTGTAGAGGAATGTGTATTCTCTATGGCTGTGCAGTATGTGCTAGAATACATTTATCTCAGTGCTCCAGATAAACATGACTGATGAGTGTCGAGTACCTTGATAATTATAGATAAGACAGATATTTTCGCCTTTTATTAGGACTATGGGCAAGAATGTAATATTCCAACGATATCTTACAGCAAAATATATTATTATAAATTGAATTATTCCATGGAAAGTTTTGTTGATTGATTACAAAAAAACTCATTCATGGCTCTACCTTGGCATTGTTGGATAATTTCAAAAAACTGTGCAAAATATAGTAAATTTAGTTAACAATGTCACCTTATTAAGAAGGAAAATATGTCAGAATAACAATAACAGACTTTGTGATCACCACAAGCAGTAGACTCTAGCTCTTCGGTATGGATATATGAGTTGACAATGACAGTTGTTACGCTATTGGAGACATGGATAGGTTAATAGTTTATAGTCGCAGATTATAAAATTTAATTATTTTGATGATATTTTTAAAAGAGAGAAAGCATTACTCAGTTGATTTTTTTTTGTAGAAAAAAGATGATTCAATATTTATGTAATTATTTCATATTTCTTTTAATTTCATTGTATCATTTAAAATTATAAATTCACTAAAATGTAACCTTAACACATTTACTTCATTGTTTGTAATTAATAATTAGTATCTTTTTAATTTGGGACAAACAAAGGTAACTTTAATGAGGTTTTTGTTCATTGATTTGGCCATAAAGAATAATTGAAATGCAATTGTTTTTTTTTAATTGATGTAATGAGAAATTGTGTAATTTTGTAATCTATTTTGCATAATATATTACCATTTAAAAACTATTATTTAATTAACTTATAAAAATTTAAATTATGTTGAACATAAGGGTAATTTAAGTTTATTAGTAAACTTAAATCCTGGTCTAATTATTTTTTCTTCAACGATACAGAAGATTTTTTTGGACGTTGGAATTGAATGAATGCCTGTGCGTATATTTCCGCTTGTTTCGTTTTTAACGGCTATCCTATATGATAAATTGTTTCGAAAGTGAATCAGAACACTCTTCCATTAACATAAATTAGATGCGAACTGCAAAGTTTTTTTATATCGAAGTAGAAACCGTTCGCGGTTGTGGCGCGCCGTAACGAAAGTGAAATGCTAGAAATGGAGTTACTCGATAGTATCGGATTATCGATTCTAAATCTATCGCGTAGTGAACGAAACAATGAGCCAGTTTCAAAGTAAACCTTTGAGTTGAGGTGAGAGTTGATTCTCTGGTTTGCGGTGAACCCTAGTGTCGGACAAAGGTCTCGGTGGCCGTAGTGCGATGTAATTCGACCAGCTAATGTTGAGCTCTCTTTGTATCGCGGTTTTCGCTTTCCGTTGTATTTATTAAAATGTTAACAATCTTTAAAGAATACGCGATAACGTTATCGAGCTTAGGTTTGTCCAAGTAAGATTGTCGAGTGTATTGTACGAAATAGTAATTGTTGAAACTTAAATTAAATTTTATATTGTCACTAGCTATCGCCCTCGACTCCGTCCCCGCGGAATTAATAAAAACAAACTTAATGAGTAACCTATATGTTCTTCCAGACTATGTTTTACATATGTGCCAAATTTCATCAAGATCTGTTGATCCGTTCAGCAAGGTATCCTTCACATAAACGTCCATCCATCCATCAGTGAGTTAAGTTGATAATATTAGTAAGATTGAGGTAATAAAAATTTGTCATGAGAATTGTTTTTGAATTGAAAACAAGTATTTTAATTGTACAAAAGACCTCATAATCCTATTGTTATATTATTTTGGTATAACTGAGACGTTAAATTTGTATGTTCCTTTTTCAAAATATTGTATTTTTTTTAATTGCGTCCCAATATTTATCTAGAAATTTAAATATCAATATAAGTACTGGCTGAAGTGAATACATATGTATGTACTCTCGAGGTATGTAAGTTTTATACAAACGTTATCACCGTTATTTTAATGCAATCTTATCGCACCACAGTTATCTAGAGGTGTTACAGATAAATAATATTGCGATACATTTTTAATTAAATCCCGCGATAAGGAAGTCTCGATCACGTTGCTCATCGTTATACAACATGTTTTTATGAATTTTACATTTGATGAATTTAATTAAAATTTTAATTGAATTATATTTGTCAGAAAATAGGCAAATAAATAAACAGAAGGTGCATAACACGCAAAACCGATACTCATTTTACTATCTTACTAATATTATAAATGCGAATGTTTAGATGGAGGGATCGATGTTTGTTTAAAGGTATCTCTAGAACAGCTGAAATGATCTCGATGAAATTTGGCATACTTATGGAAGATAGTTTGGAAGAATACATAGTTTACTAATTATGTCTTTTTTAATCCCGCGCGGAACGAGTCGCGGGAGACAGCTATTTTCTTTGAGTTACTTCTTTATGGTGATAAATTTTAGTAATTTTGTTTATTTCCTTAAAGAACATTATTGGCGATTCCTTTTAAGGCGACTTCATGTTATCTTGTACCTACCAAAGTTATTCCGGTACCATTTTTTTTATTTCAAAATGTTCACTTTAGTATCTGTAAACCATTTGTTTTGCTTGTTTTGACTTAATTAAGGCTTACTCAAGTTGATAGTAAATTTAGCTTTTATGGTTTGTACATTTTATCACTTACTCCAAATTTTAATAGCTTTAAAACGCATCAAATTGAAACGTACTTTAGAATAATTTTTCTAATCTGTATGGAAATATGATGAACAATTATATTTGAAACAAAGCTGAGAGTACTAGGTATTACCCTTTGGTGCGTTGGGGACGTGGTCGCAATTGACACGATTCAATAATGTAGCTGATAGTCAAATTGGGTTAGCGCGTGCCGCCTACTGCGTCACAGTGCCCCGGCGCGGCGGCGGCAGATAATTAGTGTTCTAATATATATTGCAACTTAGTGGACCAATGTGACATACTTTTAATTACCTTTATATGAGAATAAGGGAATCATCGTGTGTATCGGACCATTCTTACTATGATATCAATGTGTACCGTGTAAAGATCAATAAATTTTTCTCTTTATGATCTGGTCTATCGATTACGAGGACGTTTAGTGAAATTTAGCGTTTCAACAAGTACGTTGCACAGTTCCCCTAATGCGTAATGCTGTTACTGGCGTTGGCTCTCGGACGCGGGCGGTCACTGGTATTTACTCGACGCGACTTCGCCCCTGGCGGCTCGTTTCCCGGGAGCATGGCGTCGTGAGTTTTTACCCGTCCGCCGACGACACCGCTGCTCAGATGCAATCGGTGACTTTCTACAGCTGAGCGTCGGCCGGCCGCCGGTTTCACTTTCGAGCGGCGCCGGAATGCGGCCGGACCTCCGACCCGCGTGTGCGTGTCACCTTCCCCCGGCTCCCCACGCTC